GAACTTTCCTAGGGCTCCTTGCCTCCTGCCCCTCCTGGCCCACAGCAGTTGCTATGGAACTAGAGCTGGCACTACTGAGGGCTGCCTGTCCATGCCCTTGAATTTTGTTTCAGTTGAGAGCAGTGATTTCCACGAACGTGTCCTCCTCGAGTTGTGGATAGCAAAGTGCGTGAGAATCTGGGCTTTGGAGTCAAACAGTTTGAATCCGTCTCTGCAACTTACCAATCCTGTGGCCTTGTGCAAACCATGTAACTCCTCCAGGTCCCCCCTCCCTTTTTTTTAACCTATAAAATGAGGATAATAATGGCACCTGCCTCATTGATTTGATGTGAAGGCAATGGTCATAACGCATGTGAAGAGTTCAGTGCCTGGCTCACAGTCTGTGCTACTAGTATTTCTGTTTCAGAAATTAATTAAGTTGAATTGGACTGTCCTTTCAGATCAAGGTGTCAGGGGCAATGCCCCCTGAGTGAATGTGTGTAGTCAAAAGGACGGAGGTGACCTATATTGATACCTGGCTCTGCTCCCAAAGGGCTGAGTGACTTTGGGCCAGTCCCTCTGCTTCTCTGGAAGAATCTGTAAAATGTTATCTGTGAATTGAGAGGATAGGTCCAAAGCAGTGATTTCCCAACATTACAAGCAGGCAATCCCTTTCGAATATCAGTAAAATAATAAAATACCTGCTTGTATTTACACTTGCAGTGTTTGTTGCCACACAATGACAAAAGGTTTCTATCTATTCTGTAATTTAAAAAATGAATTTATATTTATTAATCCCAGCCATATTTACATTTGTTTGGGAAATAGTCATGCTTGTTTTATGTGAGAGCTGTTATTTATCAGACAACAGACAATGTTTGGTGAGTCATGTAATAACTGTGCAGACCCCAGTAGTTTCAGCCTCTCAGAGTGGGAAGCAGGGATCCAGAGGGTTGTTTTTAACAGAGCCCTCTTGGTAACAAGGTGGATCTGGAAGTCCAGATTGTGAAATGGATGCCCTCAGCGCTGCTCTGGATAAATGGGGTGGGGGGGGGCTGTTTAAGAGCTCCTCTTTCTCTCCCCTTACTCCTAACCGTCAGCCAGGAACGACCTGCAAGCAGCTCTGTTTATTCCCTGAGTAGTTGCCAAGTACCCGCTGTAGGAACGCACTGTTCTGGATGCTTGGGGGGTGTCAGGGAACAAGCTCCACTCCTTTCTAGTGAACCCATGCCTCTGAGAACTCAGTGTGGAGACCACGGGGCTCTCAAAGATGGCCCTTAGTCTCTGAGGCTAGGATTCCTGGAAGACCCAGGACACAAAAAGCAAAGCTTGCTTTTGGCCACCAGCTCCTCTCCTTTGCCTCCTTTCACCCCTTTTCAATTGCTTCTTTCTCTACTCTACACATTTGTACAAAACCAGGAGCTGAGTTTGTGACTAGAGACAAACGCTTTTCTCTTTCCAGGCTTTAGTTTCCACATTTATAAGAAGAGGGTTGGACTGTAGGTCTCTAAGTCCCCTCCTATCTCTGAATTGAGTCTGATTAACTGAGCGGAAATAATGCCACCCCATTTAGCTCAACTATCTCATCATCCTCCCCCCATATACCCAAGTAAACACTTTGTGGTGTCTTAGACAAGCCATGCAATGTTAGTACAACTTTGAAGCTATGTTTGTCAGGAGATCTTAGTACTACTTCTCTCTCCAAATGTCAGTCTTTCAGTCACTATGACACACACTCAAGAACATTCTTGTCTTTAGGCCTAGCCAGGGGATCGATGGAGAGTGACAGCTATGGAGGCCAAGGTAATGGCATCAAGAGCTTCTGAGACACATGGGTGTTCAGTGCAAAACAGAAAACAAATGTGCCCCAACCTACAGCCCCATTCTCACTATCCGGCTACCCTTCATCAGCTGGCTCTGCTTCAAGAAGGAAAACACACTATATTGGGTAGATTAATCTGAAAAAAGATTGAGAGTAGGCTTAAGTCAACTACATCTCTGGGCCAGGTTATTCCATGCTCTGCTTCCTCTTTGCTCAATGTTCTTACACTGATCCCTGCTCAACATCCGATACGTCAGCTAAGTCCTCTGTGTTGTAGAGGGTCTTCTAAAGGAAAGAGAACTTTAGTAAGGACTGATGTCCTAGCCTCATTCTTGTGGGAAGTCAGCAGCAAGAGAAACTTCAGATTGGTGGTAACACATGTAATACAACCTGCTATGGCAAGTGGGGGGCGTTGGGGGAGCACAGGCCAAGTCTATGCCTGACTTCCACCTGCCACCAGGATCAGCATCTGAGGTACTTCCATGTGCCCTATATCTTGCACTTCTAAGGGATCCTTTCTGAAATTATTCTGTCTGGGAGAGGAATCTGATATATAAACCCATGGAGCAGGCTTAGTGAATGCAAAGTGGTTACATTAAGGATTGGGGTTCTGTTTATTGACAGGGTCATGGCCTCTCCTGGTTATGACCCCCGAGGGACCCCTGCATGGAAACTGGATTTGTAACGTAACACTAACAATAACACACTAGAGACAGCCGTGACAGGGCCCCTTTTTCCTACACGCTGCAGCTGGCTCCCCAGGATGAAGACAGAGCAAGGAGCAGACGGGGCAGGCAAGAGAGCAGGAGACAAAGGAGCAGGGATGGAGCTGATGTGACTGGAGGTTCTGGGATCAGGAGTCCAGCAGGAGCTTCTGTGATCCCTGCAGCTGGAGAGTTCACCCCTGCTCACGAGCCTTCATGGTAGCCGTATCGCTCCAACCTCTCTGGATGGCCTTGTCGGCTCTGGAGGGCCCCTCCCTCTTACCAGCTCCCAACCTTAATGCACGAACCCTCTCCACAGACCCCTCCTCTCACCAAACAAACCTGCTCTCAATCTACCACACCTCCACTCTCTATCCTTTGTTTGTGAATTATTTATTTGTTTCTCTCAAGGACTGAGGAGGTAATAAGGTAGAGCAGGGAGAGGAAGAATGGAAACCTCAAGTTCCAGGACTTTCCTCATGGATTTTTCAGTCCACAGGCAGCTGGGACAAAACTGGAATAGGACGTTTGCAGTTTCTGCCCTTGCCTCTTGTGGGAAGAATTTGGAGGACTGTGAAATATTTTTCATGGGGCAGGAAGGGTCCCTGAAATCACACGACATTGGAAACCCCCTCCTCTAGCATTGCAGCAGTGGCTTCTTTTCTGGTGTACGTTAAATGAGAAATCCTTGTGACCTTATGGGAACTGACATAGGAGACTTTTCTGGTTGGCAGTTGAGTGGAGGGTTTAGAAGAAAAGCCATGGTCTCTGCTATTTTTTCTGTCAGATCTGGACTTCACCTCTCACTCATCCAATAGGCAAGAAGCACCAGTGAGTGGAGATTCTAGAATAGCCTGGCATTCATTGAGTGGTGGTTTCCAGAGGAAATAGTTAAAAATCTTTCTCTCCATCACGCACTCTGGGAATGTCAATTTCCTCGAACTGAGGCGTCTTGAACAAGAACACTGTGGGGAGTCCCTCAATGGTCTCAAATGAGGCCCTCCCTTCCTGAAATCCTCCAGGATCTCAAGTTTCCGACAAGCTTTCTTTTCCGAAGCCAACATTTAACCAAGCCTGGTGTCCCAGAGGTCCTACTGGGGCCAGCACTTCTTTTACCACGTGGTGTTGTCCTCTTGATGGAGAAGCCAACTAACTCAATGCTGTATTTAAAAAAATCCCAGAGAGGTGGTCCTGAAATTGCCTATACACTTAGCATCACATTCACATAGAGAGGTTGTAATGGTTGCCTGACCATTGGTCACTAGTAGTTGGGCATACCCAAGCCTCACGGACAAAATGAGGGAAGTTTACACGTAACTAATTTGTCATCTCAACAATTTTCCACATTCAGTTATCAGAATTGAAACCGAATAAGTTTTCTCTGGGCCTTCTCCTGGTTACTATGTGGAGACTTGGGCCACAGAGTGCTAAATGTGATTTTTTTTCATGATTTCTTCTTCAAAATGTACTTCTCTATATATAGACAAACTCATACCCACTTCACCATTCAATTTCCACCTCACTCACAAACACCTCCTAGACCACCATAGCTCACAGATGTGTTTTCTATCTATGAGTATTTGACATATATAAAATATAGCCCTGTATCAAACTTTGTACTGTTGCATTTTATCATCATTCATTAGTTATTTGTATTTCTTATTTCCCTCAAACAACCAAATGGCTCTTGAGGGCAGTGGCTTTAGGAATGCTCTAGTCCTACACTGGCGTGATTCTCAGCAGGTTGGGCCATTTATGCCTCTTCTCAGCACAAACAACGTGGCCACGTGGGAGTGCCCTGATGGCTTGAAATTCAGTGTTATTTTGGAGCTATAGCCAGGGATTGTCTTAAAGGAAGCCAAAGAAGAGAGACCCAGATTACCTGCAAGTAATTTAGATATTATTTGCCTAATCATTGCATGAAACCTACATGATTATCGTCTCACATTTGGATCCATTTTTGTCTTCTCTGTCTTACTCTCTCTTTGTCTCCCCACCCTCCTTTCTCCCTTCTTCTTCCCTCCCTCCCTCTCTTTTTGCAAAAGTAGAGACAAAAGTTACCGGAAGTCTCAATTGTCAGACTTCAAAGTCTTTGCTAAACATATGACATTTAACAGTGTGTCCCCCTCCCCTTCCTCACCCTCATCTCGCTTGCATGGGCACAAGCCTCAGAGAGATAACCATATCAGGCAGAATAAATGAAGCTTATTTCCTTCTAAATTTGCTTCCTCCCACACAGCATGGCTATGTGCCCTGGGGTTGGCAGTGCACTTTACCCCAGAACTCTCTCTATTGACTTTTAGGTGTAGGCAATGGGCTAGATATGGTAGAAGAATCTACACTCACCAGACAGAAATCATGGACCTTTTGAATCAGAAAGACTCCAACAGAAAGTCTCATCTAACATTTTCATTTTATAGGTGAAGAAACCGAGACCTGGAGGAGGTCAATGAATTGTCTGAAATCAGAGTTAGATATGAACAGAGCAGGCATAGAACCCAGTCTGGTATTCTTTCTGCCTGACACAGACTCAGAAACTATAAATTTCAGCAATAACGCTGAGAGTTCAAATAGTGGATTTCTCCAGTATCCAAGTAGACTACGTTCTCCCATGAGTTCACCAGGGTAATACAGAGAAGTCTTGCCTCCAGCAACCTGCCTTGGAGGAGACCTAGCAGAGCTGCTTCCTACATGACTTGAGGTCTGTGTAGGGGGAAGCAGCTGAGTTTTCTGTAGAGTGTGGTCTGTGAGCCAGATTCTCCCATGTGCTGTGTGGCATTATCCAGGGCTTGACTGCTGCGGCCTGTCCCCAACCCACTGAAGGCCAATCAGGTTTAACTCTCCAGTCTAAGGCAACATGGAAACAAGAGACAGGAAAGGAAATCTGGAACTGCTGGATATAGGGCTGGGTTTCTGAAGAGGAAGAGAACATAAGCTCCCTACTGGGATATCCAACAGTACTGTCCCAAATACCCTTCAGAGGGTCAGAAATTCTTCTACTGAAGTGCTTTACTTTAGGTCTTGAGGAGATTTTAGAATGGAATCTATAGAAAAATAAAAATGACTCTACAAATGGTAACACTTCACTAGGAACTGGAAGATTGGACAGGGATAAAGCTCAGGCAAGGAAAAATGGAGAGAACCCCTAAAATATTGGCTGTCTCCCTTCTCTACCTTCTAACATGTGCACGTGAACACACACACACACACTCACACACACACACACACACACACACACTCCGTTGTGCTGTTTGGAAGACCAATAGAGGTTAGCAAGGCCTCGTTCATCTGCCACCGTCTGGCTGAAGCAAATCTCTCATCGAAAGCTGCCCTCACCCCAACTTGCCACCTGTGTGGGGGCACCACAGCCTTAGCTTGTTTCCCTACTTCTGGGGCTCAGCGGGATGTTCTTAGCGCCCAGCCAACCTTCTGCTACTGGAGGGTTTGGTGGGTCTGGCCTGCCACAGTCTTCAGGGGCACCTGGAGCCCTCACGTGTAAACTAGTTTTGTACTTTTTTAGTACAATCTTGTCCCACACTCCCAGCCTCCAGGGTCCCTCTGCGGCAGGAGAACCTCCCACTCTTGCTCACCACTCTGCCTGCGAGCTTCCCAGCCGAGGAGGGCGATTTTTCAGAAAACTATTTTTAGAAATAGTAACCTCAGAATAAACACAGCACACCAGATGCTGGTGTTTTTCTGGGGCAACTGAGCTGGAGATCATTTGTTTAAAGAGAAAGGTAAAACAGCCAACCTTATTACTCTGGCAGGGCGATGGTGTGCAGATTGCTGGGTTTTACTCCCTCTAGTGGTACGATTTTAGAAGACATGGCGCCACCTTGACACAGACTAGTAAGACTTCATTATGGACAGAATTTGTACACGGATTCCATTTTACTTTACATTTAGGCTTCTGATTTAGTGAAAAGTAAGGATAGATTGCATCTTAATTTTATGAGTACAAAATGTGTTAAGAATATTAGGGCAATTTCTCTGCATCTTTTCCCTATTTCTGGAAGGATTGAAAACTAAATAAAACTATACTTATACTTTGAAAATAAGGCTAGAGTAAAACTGCTGGAGACCTTTGGTTAAATAAAATCTACTCCCTAAACAGGATCTGCATGCAGTAGGGGGAACCATTAGGGTAAATTCAATACTATACACCTCTTCCCTTAGTAAGGGTCAGTAGTTCTGCCGGCTCCACAGAAAATGAGATAAAAAGGAACAAGTTAGAGGGAGGATTTCTCAGACTAATATTGGAGAGAAAACACAACAAAACAACACAAAAAATCTTTCTGATTGTAAGACTTGAGAGACCAGAAACATTACTTAAAGGCACCAAGGGTGTCCCTTTCAGAAAGTTTTAATCATATTTCCTCTAAGCACATTTTCTAGTGAATTGGATGCAGCCTGCAAAAAGACAACAAAAGAAAACTAACTGACTTCCTATAGACCTTCTTAATTCTAGGATTGTACAGTGCAGTGCCATGAGAGTCTTCTGACTCTAAGAGAGCTGTAAGTGAAAAGGTCTTCTTTGACCTGAAGACCTCAGTCCTCATATCAGAAATGCTTGTCAGTGTGGAAAATAGCCGATGGACACTTATCCAGTCACATTATAAATGACTGGGCTTATCCTACAACCTGCTGTGGCTTACCAACGTCTGGGTGACAGAGTAAAACCAAAATGACTATGGTTGACAGGAGGGAAAACATGTGTAGTAACTGATCAGTCAAATCACTCTCATCTCTCAGCCCATTTTGAGTCAGACTTTGTAAATTATGGAACTGCATTCATTCATTCAACAGAAAGCATTCCATTCACAAGTAGTTCAGCTGAACTGACAATTGATTCACTGTGAGCTTTTTTGTGAACGGCTGACTGGTTATCCAGAGGAACAGCCTCTTCTTTGACTGCCCTTGTCTCTCTGTTCACATTTACCACTTTTGCGTATTTTTACTCATAACTTATCTAACTTCTAGCAACTACTGGTAGGGAGACCAGCAAGTCTGTTCCCCCATGGCCCTTGGGTACCAAATAACACCATTTGTCCCCTAAAATGGATAGTCACAAAAATCATGTTGGTGCTGATTTTCCTCCATATGCTGCTGAGTTCCCCTTTGTTGCCATAGAAAAGAAGCCATATGCACTATCTGACCCTGGGAGAAAAATCATCTCCAGTTGAGAAACCCTGACCTAAGGAGAAGTGTTGGGTGTGGGAGAGATTTCATTTCTTCTGTTTTGCGGTCATTCATTCTTTTTTTTCCCCATTTATATTTTTCAACAGCTAATCATAGAAGACCTATACGCTGGAGTAGGTCTTAGGGATCAATAGTAAACAAAAATCAAACTCCCGAAATAAATGAAATAGAGACTAAAAAAACAATAGAAAGGATCAACTAAGAGCTGGTTCTTTGAGAAGATACACAAAATTGATAAACCCTTAGCCAGACTCACTAGGAAAAAAAGAGAGAAGGCTCAAATAAATAAAATCAGAAATGAAAGAGGAGAATTAAAATGGACACCACAGAAATACAAAGGATTATAAGAGAATACTATGAAAAGCTATGCTCCAACAAACTTGATAACCTAGAAGAAATAGATAAATTCTTAGAATCATACAGCCTCCCAAAACCAAATCAAGAAGAAATAGAGAATTTGAATAGACCAATCACAAGCAAAAACGATTGAAACACGTAATAATCAAAAATTTCCCAAAAAACGAAAATCCAGGACCAGATGACTTCCCTGGTGAATTCTACCAAACAGTCAAAGAAAATTTAATTCCCATCTTTCTCAAACTATTCTGAAAAATTGAAGAGGACAGGACACTTCCTAACTCATTTTACAAAGTCAACATTACCCTGATACCAAAACCAGACAAGAACAACACAAAAATGGAAAATTACAGGCCAATATCACTGATGAACATAGATGCAAAAATCCTCACCAAAATATTTGCAAATTGAATACAACAATACATTAAAAGGATCATATACCATGATCAAGTGGGATTTATTCCAGAGAGTCAGGGATGGTTCAACATCTGCAAATCAATCAATGTGATACACCACATTAACAAAATGAAGAATAAAAATCACATGATCATATCAATGGATGCAGAGAAAGCATTTGACAAGATCCAACATCCATTTATGATAAAAACTCTGAATAAGATCGGTATAGAAGGAAAGTACCTCTATATAATAAAGGCCATACAGGACAAGCCAACAGCCAACATCACACTCAATGATGAAAAACCAAAAGCAGTTCTTCCCAGAACAGGAACAAGACGAGGATGCCCACTCTTGCCACTCTTATTCAACATAGTACTGGAAGTTTTAGCTGGTGCAATTAGACAAGAAAAAGAAATAAAAGGGATCCAAATTAGAAAGGAAGAAGAGAAACTGTCACTATTGGAAGATGACATGATTCTATCTACAGAAAACCCTAAAGAATCCACCAAAAAACTATTAGAAATAATCAACAAATACAGTAAAGTTGCAGGGTACAAATTCAACATACAAAAATCAGTTGCATTTCTATATACTAATGATGAACTAGCAGAAAGAGAAGTCAAGAATACAATCACATTTACAACTGAAACAAAAAGAATAAAATACCTAGGAATAAATTTAACCAAGGAGGTGAAAGACCTACGCATTGAACACTATAAGAGATTGTTGAAAGAAACTGAAGAAGACATAAAGAAATGGAGATATATTCCATGCTCATGAATTGGAAGAATAAACATAGTTAAAATCTACAGATTCAATGCAAACCCAATCAAAATCCCAATGACATTCTTCACAGAAATAAAACAAAGAACCCTAGAGTTTATATGAAACAACAGACTCTAAATAGCCAAAACAATCCTGAGGAAAAAGAACAAAGTTGAAGGTATCACACTCCCTGATTTCAAGGTATACTACAAAGCTATAGTAACCAAACCAGCATGGTACTGGCATAAACACAGACACACAGATCAATGGAACAGAAGTGAGAGCCCAGAAATAAAACCACACATCTACAGACAGCTAATCTTTGACAAAGGAGCCAAGAACATACACTGGAGAAAGGAAAGTCTCTTCAATAAATGGTGTTGGGTAAACTGGACAACCACATGCAAAAGAATGAAAGTAGACCATTATCTTATACCATACACAAAAATTAACTCAAAATGGATTAAAGACTTGAATGTAAGACCTGAAACTATAAAACTCCTAGAAGAAAATATAGGCAGTATACTCTTTGACATTGGTCTTAGCAGTATCTTTTCAAATACCATGTCTACTCAGGCAAGGGAAACAAAAGAGAAAATAAACAAAAGGGGCTACATCAGACTAAAAAGCTCCTGCACAGCAAAGGAAACCATCAACAAAACAAAAAGACAACGCACCAACTGGGAGAAAATATTTGCAAATCGTATATCCAACAGGGAGTTAATTTCCAAAATATGTAAAGAACTCTTACAATTCAATAACAAACAAATGAACAACTCAATCAAAAAATGGGCAGAGGATATGAACAGACATTTTTCCAAAGAAGATATACAGATGGCCAACAGGCACATGGAAAGAGGTTCCACATCACTAATTATTAGGGAAATGCAAATCAAAACTACAATGAGATATCACCTCACACCCAACAGAAAGGCTATAATTAACAAGACAAGAAATAGTAAGTGTTGGAGAAGATGTGGAGAAAAAATCATCCTCATACACTGCTGGTGGGAATGCAAACTGGTGCATCCATTATGGCAAACAGTATGGAGATGTCTCAAAAATTAAAAATAGAAATACCGTATGATCCAGCTATCTGATTTCTGGGCATTCATCCAAAGAACATGAAATCACAAATTTAAAAAGATTCATGCACCCGTATGTTTGTGGCAGCATTATTCACAATAGCCAAGACGTGGAAGCAACTCATGTGCCCATCAACAGAGGAAAGGATAAAGAAGATGTAGTATATGCGCACAATGGAACACTACTCAGCCATAAAAAAAGACAAAATCATGCCATTTGTGACAACATAGATGGACCTTGAGGTTATTATTCTAAGTGAAATAAGTCAGACAGAGAAAGACAACATATGATTTCACTTATATGTGGAAGATAAACAAACACATAGATAAGGAGAACAGATTAGTGGTTACCAGAGGGGAAGAGGGTGAGGGGAGGGTGAAAAGGATAAAGGGGCACATATGTATGGTGATGGATAAAAACTAGACTATTGGTGGTGAACACAAGGCAATCTATTCAGAAACTGAAATATAATAATGTACATCTGAAATTTACACAATATTATAAGCCAGTACGACCTCAATAAAATAAAAAAAATCAAGTTCCTGTCCTTAAGTAACTTATATTCTAGTACTTGTGAACGATGGAGACAGTAGTAAACACAATACAAATATATGAGAGGATTCTCAATAGTGATAAACATTATGTAGAAAATAAAACAAGGTAGTGAGCGAGAGAGTGACTAGGTAAGGTTTGACAAGGAAGTGTGGGGACCGTGGGGAGCTCTAAATGCTGGACGTTGCATTGAGCTTGATCTTGAATCTCAGCAGACTGGAGAGATGGCTATGGTGGTCGTGGTGTTGGGGAGTGTTAAGAATTCGAGTGACATGAGCAAGGCTGTGGTTTTAGAAGTTTCCTCTGACACTGGTCTGTATGTAGGATATTTGCAAAACAGCAAAGCCACAGAAGCCAATAAATTGGTTAGGAGGTTGTTGCAACTATCAAGAAAAAAAGATAATAAAAGCCTGAACTAGGTGGTGGCAGTGAGAATGGAAAGGAGGGAGTGCAAATGAGGAATTTAGAGCAGAACTTCCTTGATTTTTAGATTTAACAACATATGATTACAAAATAAAACCTCATGTGATTTTGGCACATGAGGATGTTAAAACAAATTAAACACTACAATCACTCTTCTTTATGATAATAAGACCATTTTAACACATGAAAAGGAAGAAGAACATAATCTCAGAACAAAGGGCAGTCCTCTAGGTTGATAAGTTATAATTTTGTGTATAACTAGTTGGACTGTCTTATTTTTCTCTCTGCATCACAGACCGGTAACCACTATATAGGGTCAATATTGTCTAAGATCAGCTTCTTATTACCTATGGGTTTCGGGCTTACCTGAAAATGTGATGGGCTTTGAGGCTGGAAGAAAAAAAGTGGTGTAAAAGATAGATCCAAAGTGTTGTACTTGGATGAACAAGTATTTGACGGAATCATTAGCAAAAATTAGGAAGAAGAGGAGGTAGATTTGAATTAAGAATACTAAATCTGGATTGAAATCTGATATTTAAGATGTTAGATGCACATTCTTGATCAGATCTTTGGTGAATAGTTGTAGGCATGGTATTGAGAGTAAGGTTAAGAGTCAGAACCACAAATGTAGATTTTGGAATTGTTCAAATGAAAATAACTGAAGCCATTGGAGTGGGCACAATCTCCAAGGGAGAAAGGAGGAAGGAGAGTGGATTAAAGACAAAACATTGGAGAAAATTAACAGGCAGAAATTAGCCAAAACTCAAAGGAAAGAGGAACCCCCAGATAGTCAAGAAGATCAATAAAGCAGAGCAGCCAGGTGTCAAAGAAAGAATTGGTTGTAAGCAAATTTATAGACATTATATTTCCACAGGGAAAAGAAAGGACTGAAGATATTTCATGTTAGTAAGATATTTCATGTTTCTTAGACCATCATGTTTCTCCATGATGGGGATCTGGACATATTTATAGAGAAAGGAGAGATTCATGATACATGACAAAAAAATAATTGATGCAATAAAATGCCAAGGCAACCTTGGTGGGGATGTGGAGGAAGAAATTTTGAAAGTGAAGGGGATCACTCTATTCCTTAGAGAAGGAAGGAGGATTTCATGGATGAAGATGCTGAGATTTCAAAGCAACAAGAAGAGTATGGTCAAAAGTGAAGAGAAAAGATGGGAAAGAAGCCCTTATAGATGACTCCAACCATCTGCTATAAGAGATGAGGAAGAACTAGGATTGTGAAGAATAATAACATTTTGTTGTAGCCCCGGTGGAAATTTGGTAAGGAGTTAAGTTAATAGCTGAAAAAGCATAACTAAGAAGGAGTGAGGGGTAAACTGGCTTTTATCCCCCATAATAAACACATGCTATGTTTATTATGGATCAAATCAGCACCATGTTGTAAATTTCTTGAGCTACTCTTGGCTGCTGGAGAGTAGGACAAAAGGAAGTAAGAGTTAGAAATTAGCACTAGAAGTAGGAAGAAAAGTCAAGGATATGAGATGTCCAGAGTTTTAGAGAGAGGAGCATTGATAGGGCCACATCAGGATCAGAAGTGGATGGGACAACTGGGAAATTAGGGATATGTTGAGGGACAACGGGTTGCAATGAGAGGGAAGAGCATGCTCAAGAGATTTCAGCGGGAAGCCTTTATTGCGGTCGGAAGAGAAGAGGCCTAAAATTTGCTCATCAACTATGTGCCTGACCATTGTGGTTAATAAGACACACAAGGTTCCTGACCTCATGCAGTTGTATGCTAGTACTAAGGGCAGAAGGCAGGAAGAGACGGATAATAAAAAAAATAAAGGGGGAAAACATCAGGTAGTGATGATGATTTAAATACTGTGATGTGATTGCAAGTGGCTGTGGTTACCATACACTGAGTGGGAAAGGAGGATCTCTGAGGAAAGAACATTTAAGCCAAGATGTGAACGACTAGACGGAGGCAGCCACGTGACAAGAGTTCACAAGAAATGCTTATGTTCAGGGAGTGAGCATAAGGAAGAGGCATCAAGGATAACTCCGGAATATTTGGCTTAAACAACAGGTGACCCTTTTTTTCTGAGATGGGGAAGACTACAGAAGAGTAGGTTTTGAAGGGGGTGAGGAGTGGTAGAAAATCAAGAATTCTCTTTTTCCACATTAAGTTTAAAACGTCAAATGATGGTCCTAAAGGTGGAGGAGTTCTAAGCATGAAGAAAGCATGAGTGAAGGCCAAAAGAAGTTGTGAAGGTCAAGTAGTATTAAGAGTAAAGAACCTCAAGTTGCAATATGAGTCATAAATATTACCCTTGTTCAAGATCCTGGAGGTTATTACAGACGAGGGCAAGATTTTGATCTAGGAAGAAAAACTTGAAGAAGGAACTGAAATTTTAAGGAATAAGACAGGTTTTCTTGATGACGTCCTAAAGGCTAGTGTATGATGGGGAAAAGGAAATGGATATATATAAACATTTATATATATGTGTGTCATATGTATACATATATGTATATGTATATGAAAAGCAGTTGAAAACAGTAGTTGATGGAGACTAAATATATTTACTTGATAATAATTAAAATAATATTTTAGCAACTAAGCAAAGA